CCTGGTCTGCACAGCACCTTGCCATTTTCCAGCATGAATGCTCTCAGCTCCAGACAACACTGGGGTGCCTGACAGAACACCTTCACCAGAGCACACAGCCTGTTCACCTCCTCAAACACCTCTGGAAAAACCTCCAGCACCAGGTTCAGGAGACGGGCAAAGCAGGTGATGTGTCTGGTACACTCTTACAAAAAACTTTAAAGGGTTCTTCAGCTGTCCCCATAAGAGAACCCTTTGAATAACCCTTTTTGGTTCCAGGTAGAACCCTTTACACAGAGGGATATACGTGGAAGCCAAAAATAAAGAGTTCTACCTGGAACCAAAAATGTTTTTTTTCTTCTAAGAGTGTAGGGGTTGTGCCGGGTAATCGGACAAAACGAGAATCGTAACGGATATGGGCAATTATGATCAGAGTATTTTTTGTAATTATCCATGATTAGGAAAAAAAGTCATTTTCGGGTGCCAGCACGCATCTTTCTCATGTCACTGGGCGGATTCGATTATGCTGAGCAGGAGGGCACCGGGCATAGGCCCGTCACATCATCGGGCGAAAGTGGGGAAGGAGGCGCGCCCTTCTCAAATCGAACAGTAATCTGCGCCGCTCTGTCATTTTGTCAACAAGGCAGCATGGTGGACCGTCCAGAAACATACATCTCTTTTCCATAAAATAAATGTTTGAATTTTCTAACTAGTTTTCATTGGGAAGGCAGATAGTGTTTTTATCAAAAGCAATCCCTTCTGCATGGGAAAACACAGAATCCTTGTAATTACTACACTTGCTTAATTATGTCACTTTTGTTTTGAGCCGACTTCACTGTGGAGGTAGCCCGGTTCCAAATTGAATGCAATCCATTTTCAGCCGATGCAAAACACGCTGACACGGGCGCCCAGGCGGGATTAATCGAACCCCCTCAGTCAGTCATGTGCAAGGTTCTACGAGGTCTAAATAATTCAACTGGCTGTCTGTAAAGAGAAGTGCGGGCTGTACGTTGATCCACTGGCTTCATAATTTCACCAGATCACTTTTCCTTGTATGTTTTCGGTCTGATCATTTAGATTGCTGCTGCCTTCTACTATGATAAATCACATGGCGAGGAAGTTTGCTATCAAGCTATCAGCTGTAGACCACACTATTTACCAAGAGAGTTTTCATCTATATTTTTCATAGCTGTCTATTTACCACCACAAACCAATGCTGGCATTAAGATTGCACTGAATGAGCTGTATAAGGCCATAAATCAACAGGAAAACGCTCATCCAGATGCAGCGCTCCTAGTGGCCGGGGACTTTAATGCAGGGAAACTTAAATCTGTTCTACCTAATTTCTACCAGCATGTTAAATGTGCAACCAGAGGAAAAAAAACTCTAGACCACCTTTACTCCACACACAGAGACGCATACAAAGCTCTCCCTCGCCCTCCATTTGGCAAATCTGACCATAACTCTATCCTCCTGATTCCTGCTTATAAGCAAAAACTAAAGCAGGAAGCACCAGTGACTCGGTTAATAAAAAAGTGGTCAGATGACGCAGATGCTAAGCTACAGGACTGTTTTGCTAGCACAGACTGGAACATGTTCCGGGATTCTTCAGATAGCATTGAGGAGTACACCACATCAGTCACTGGCTTCATCAATAAGTGCATCGATGATGTCGTCCCCACGTGACCGTACGTACATACCCCAACCAGAAGACATGGATTACAGGAAACATCCGCACTGAGCTAAAGGGTAGAGCTGCCGCTTTCAAGGAGCGGGACTCTAACCCGGACGCTTATAAGAAATCCTGCTATGCCCTCCGACGAACCATCAAACAGGCAAAGAGTCAATACAGGACTAAGATTGAATCGTACTACACTGGCTCTGACGCTCGTGGATGTGGCAGGGCTTGAAAACTATTACAGACTACAAAGGGAAGCACAGCCGCGAGCTGCCCAGTGACACAAGACTTCCAGACGAGCTAAACCACTTCTATGCTCGCTTCGAGGCAAGCAACACTGAAGCATGCATGACTGTGATCACGCTCTCTCCGTAGCCAAAGTAAGACTTTTAAGCAGGTCAACATTCACAAGGCCGCAGGGCCAGACGGATTACCAGGACGTGTACTCCGAGCATGTGCTGACCAACTGGCAAGTGTCTTCACTGACATTTTCAGCCTGTCCCTGACCGAGTTTGTAACACCTACGTTTCAAGCAGACCACCATAGTCCCTGTGCCCAAGAAAACCAAGGTAACCTGCCTAAATGACTACCAACCCGTAGCACTCACGTCTGTAGCCATGAAGTGCTTTGAAAGGCTGGTCATGGCTCGTATTAACACCAACATCCCAGAAACCCTAGGCCCACTCCAATTCGCATACCGCCCCAACAGATCCACATATGACACAATCTCTATTGCACTTCACAGTGCCCTTTCCCACCTGGACAAAAGGAACACCTATGTGAAAATGCTGTTCATTGACTACAGCTCAGTGTTCAACACCATAGTGCCCTCAAAGCTCATCACTAAGCTAAGGACCCTGGGACTAAACACCTCCCTCTGCAACTGGATCCTGGACTTCCTGATGTGCCGCCACCAGGTGGTAAGGGTAGGCAACAACACATTTTCCACGCTGATCCTCAACACGGGGGCCCCTCAGGGGTGCGTGTTTAGTCCCCTCCTGTACTCCCTGTTCACCCATGACTGCGTGGCCAAACACGACTCCAACACCGTCATTAAGTTTGCCGACAACACAACGGTGACAGGCCTGATCACCGACAACGATGAGACAGCCTATAAGGAGGAGGTCAGAGACCTGGCCTGGTGCCAGGACAACAACCTCTCCCTCAACGTGATTAAGACAAAGGATATGATCGTGGACTACAGGAAAAGCAGGGTAAGAGCTTCAAGTTCCTTGGTGTCCACATCACCAACAAACTATCATGGTCCAAACACACCAAGACAGTTGTGAAGAGGGCGCGATTGGTTGACAGTCTGCTGGGTGGGGCGTTATACGTTCCTTCATTCATTGGATTCCTATCTCCTTTCTATAATATCTCTGGCAACGGCACCATGCAACGCACCCTGGGCTAAAGAGGCAGACAAATAGGAAACATGTGCTAGACCCTCAGTTAAATTACAAATTTCTCGAGGTAGGAATATTGCAAAAATATGATCAATGGCTCATTCGAGAGAAGACATCCTCCCGAGTTATGACATCGGCCAGTAATGAAATTTGACATGTATGATAGACGTTTTCAAGATCTAAATGTCATATTCCTATTAACTTCCAGTGTAGTGAGAGTGACATTATCACGGTGCTACGTCATACCGGCTGGATTTCTGCCTGCTTGAACGCCAATAACTCAGATACACATGAAAACACGAAATGACCCAGGAACTCGATAGAACATCCCTCAGAGATGCACAAAAACAATTAACATTCAAAATGGGTGAACCTTTCATTTAACTTCTGAATGTATTGCCATTCAGGACTTCGCTGCTGTTGCTTCCCTGTCTCACTCTCTGCCATTTTTCCAACTGTTTACGACGATGACGTGCGGAGTGCTTTATATCCGTAGCAAATAACTAGAAAGATACTTATCTCCTCCTACTAACGTTACAGCATTGTTGCATTAGGTATTTGTTTAATCTATATTTTTCCCTTTATGATGATGATCTGGACCTGTTAGTGGTAGTTTTGTGATAACTCCACTGTGATACAAATGTTGAGGAGAAGAAAATAAAAAAATCTCGGTTCGTTTTTTTTCTTAAAGTTAACAATCCCAATTTAATTTATGTTCACACCCCTAGTACAGTATAATGTTCTGTATTGTGCTGTACTGTACCCCACTGTACTTTACTCTACTGAACTAAACTCTACGGCACTGCACTGTAATCTACTGTGCTCTACTGTACTGAACTGTGCTGTCCAAATTTATGAAACAGACGTCTCTGATTGGTTCGGATTTGGTCCGGTCCGACCAAATTTGTTCTTTTTTGGGTGCGGATCTCATTAGAATAATAAATACCCAGCTTGCTTTGCAAGTGTTCATTTTTACATTTTGTGATTTAGCAGACACTCTTATCCAGAGCAACTTACAGTCAGTACATTCAACCTAGGTAGCTAAACAATCACATATCACAGTCATAGCAAGAAAAATGTTTCTGTAACCGTTACTGAGAATGTTATTGTATTTGAGGTGTTCATTTATTTATTTTTTCTGTTCTCAGAAAACGTTGAACATCATCGCTGACAGGTTAAAGCTTTTGAATAATAAATGTTCCACGTTACAATCTTCAGTTGGCTCCATTTTCCTTTTTTAATTAGAGTATTTTTTTGTGGATGTGATATAATGCCTTTTTTCAGAGTAATTTTGCTCACTGGGTAGCCCTGATTGTAAAATTCTAAATAATATGGGGGGCCCCTCGAATGTTTGTTGCCTGTGGCGAATACCCAAGCTCTGCGCCTGCAGGCCTATGTATCAAAACCATACAATAATAGCTTACACTGATTAGAAACTATAATGCATTAACAATATATTGTATGCTTGGTCACCTATTCAAATACTGTAGGTGATGAAACAGAAAAGAGTATAAGTACATGAGCTACACGTTTACTTTATACAGAGCACATCTGAACAAAGGTAAGACTGGTCACCGTTTGGTTCCACTTCTCTTGATATCACTGAGACAGAATCAAAATCCACACAGGCTAAATGATTACTGTAAGTCAAAATATTTATGAACTACTTCAGACTGATTAGCCTATTGTTAACAGTACATGAGACATGCTGATATCTTTAGTCATTCAGTAGACTGGTGGATCATATCTTATCATAACTGATAGAGGTAATGATAAAACTGTATACATTCTGGAGTGTATACAGGATACATTCACATATAATTAAGACAAGATGTCAATCAAAAAAGCAACCATGTATCTTATGTCAGGTTCTGATGTTGTCACTCAATTCATCATTGTTGCTAAAGTATTTAAAGTGACTGTAGACGGTTAACAACTAGTTACTGTAGAGGGTCAACGACCAGCACGCCCAGGGTGTTATTGAAGATAACCCTTCCGTCTACCTCTCTACTACAGTCTGGGTGTCTCAGCAGCTCCAGAGCACTAGCCTTCAGCTCTGCAGGAGCCGTGCTGCTGAAGTTCAACACCTCAGTCAGGAAGTCCAGCAGTAGCTCTCCTCTCTGGTCCCCCTCAGTGAAACACTCTGTGATATCCATCTGAGAAGGCAGCTCGTAGCTCTGGTAACTCACTGCCTTAGAGTCCAGGTAGGTTTTAATATCACCCGTGGTGACACACTGACTGCTCTCTGTGCTACACAGCTGGGTCCTGAAGGTCCTCCACAGCTTCCCCCAGCCACTCTCACCTACAGAAAAAGTATAACAGTATAACAGTTCATACAGTATTCTAGATGTTTGTGTATTATGTGTATGCCAGGGATCCCTGTATTGTTGCCAGACACATTTCCCTATTAGACAAGTAGGTATTCAAATCAATAAGTATAACATATAACTGTCACGATCGTCATATTGAACAGACCAAGGCGCAGCGTGATGAACGAACATACTTTAATTAGTTAAAGTGTAAACACGATACAAAAACAAGAAACGACTCGTGAAGTCCACGGTAACAATGACCGAACACGGAACAAGAACCCACAAACACAAAGGGAAAATAGACAGTATAAATATGGCTCCCAATCAGAGACAACCAACGACAGCTGACACTCGTTGCCTCTGATTGGGAGTCACTCTAGCCAACATAGAAATAAACACACCAGAATTACCAACATAGAAATAAACACAAAGAATGAACACACCCTGGCTCAACATATAGAGTCCCAGAGCCAGGGTGTGACAATAACAGAGCTCTGGCAGGCATGGGTTCTGATAAACCCATTTGACTCACCAGACACCAGAATGATGAGTAGTTTTCCTTTCTTGTCCAGGAGGCTCTGGTAGAATGAGACTGTAGCACAAGGATCCTTCACGTAATACAACATCTGGATGGAACCCAGAGGAACTATCCGATTATTCTCATAAAAAGACTGAATGTGATCTTAATAATGCAATACAAATAAATAGCAATAGCTATGTATGGTACATACAGTGCATTCGGAAAGTATTCAGACCCCTTGACTTTTTCCACATTCTGTTACGTTACAGCCTTATTCTAAATTGATTAAATTATATTTTTTCCTCATCAATCTACACACAACACCCCATAATGAAAAAGCGAAAACAGGTTTTTAGAAATTTTAGCTAATTTATTAAACAGAAAAACCAGAAAAACCTTATTTAAATAAGTATTCAGACCCTTTGCTATGAGACTCGAAATTGAGCTCAGGTGCATCCTGTTTCCATTGATCATCCTTGAGATGTTTATACAACTTGATTGGAGTCCTCCTGTGGTAAATTCAATTGATTGGACATGATTTGGAAAGGCACACACCTGTCTATATAATGTCCCACAGTTGACAGTGCATGTCAGAGCAAAAACCAAGCCATGAGGTTGAAGGAATTGTCCGTAGAGCTCAGAGACAGGATTGTGTCGAGGCACAGATCTGGGGAAGGGTACCAACAATTGTCTGCAGCATGGAAGGTCCCCAAGAACACAGTGGTCTCCATCATTCTTAAATGGAAGAAGTTTGGAACGACCAAGACTCTTCGTAGAGCTGGCCGCCCGGTCAAACTGAGCAATCGGGGGAGAAGGGCCTTGGTCAGGGAGGTGACCAGGAACCCAATGATCACTCTGACAGTGCTCCAGAGTACTTCTGTGGAGATGAGAGAACCTTCCAGAAGGACAACCATCTCTGCAGCACTCCACCAATCAGGCCTTTATGGTAGAGTGGCCAGACGGAATCCATTCCTCAGAAAAAGGCATATGACAGCCCCCTTTGAGTTTGGCAAAAGGCACCTAAAGGACCCAGACCATGAGAAACAAGATTCTCTGGTCTGATGAAACCAAGATTGAACTCTTTGGCCTGAATGCCAAGCGTCACGTCTGGAGGAAACCTGCAGGGACTGGGAGACTAGTCAGGATCGAGGGAAAGATGAACGGAGCAAAGTACAGAGAGATCCTTAATGAAAACCTGCTCCAGAGCGCTCAGGACCTCAGACTAGGGCGAAGGTTCACCTTCCAACAGGACAACGACCCTAAGCACACAGCCAAGACAAAGCAGGAGTGGCTTCGGGACAAGTCTCTGAATGTCCTTGAGTGGCCCAGCCAGAGCCTGGACTTGAAACCGATCGAACATCTCTGGAGATACCTGAAAATAGCTGTGCAGCAACGCTCCCCATGAAACCTGACAGAACTTGAGAGGATCTGCAGAGAAGAATTAGAGAAACTCCCTAAATATAGGTGTGCCAAGCTTGTAGCGTCATACCCAAGAAGTCTCGAGGCTGTAATCGCTGCCAAAGAAGCTTCAACAAAGTACTGAGTAAAGGGTTTGAATACTTATGTAAATGTAATATTTAAGTTTTTTATTTGTAATACATTTGCTAAAATTGATAGAAACCAGTTTTTGCTTTGTTATTATGGAGTATTGATGAGGGGAAAAAACTATTTCATCAATTTTAGAATAAGTCTGTAAAGTAACAAAATGTGGAAAAGGTCAAGGGGTCTGAATACCTTCCAAATGTACTGTACTGCAGCACACACACCAGGCATCCACTATACAAAGCCATGTGGGTTAGTTCTAACCTGTATCATGTGTATGAAGTCCATCTTCTTGGTATAGTTCTTCTCTCGCCAGTCCTTCTCAAACTCAGTGGCAGTCATCTTATTCCAGGTGAATTTAATGTAATCTAGATTTGGTTTCTGGGACACCAACACTACACAAGATAAAGATATACACTGAGTGTACAAAACATTAAGAACACCTTCCTAATATTGAGTTGCAGCTTTTGCCCTAAGAACAGCATCAATTTGTCGGGGCATGGACTCTAAGAGTTGTCAAAAGCATTCCACATGGATGCTGGCCCATGTTGCTTCCAATGCTTCCCACATTTTTGTCAAGTTGGCTGGATGTCCTTTGGGTGGTGGACCATTCTTGATACAAATGGGAAACTGTTGAGCGTGAAAAACTCAGCAGTGTTGCAGTTCTTCACACAACCTGGTGCGCCTGGTACCTACTACCATACCCTGTTCAAAGGCACTTCAATATTCACCCTCTGAATGGCATACATACACAATCCATGTCTCAAGGTGTAAAAATCATGATTTAACCTGCCTCCTCCCCTTCATCTACAGGGGAGGAGGAAGATTTTGTACACTCAGTGTATGAAGTCAATCCACACAAAAAGTGACTGTAAGATTAGGTTATTAGGATATGCCATTGAATTAATAATTTATTACACAATCATACTGAAATTAAAAATATACCCTTATAGTTGTCTTAAACCTTTCCATTGGAGTCTGCAGTCCCGTAACTGTAATAACGTTATACCCTTTTAATTGTGGTACTGGTAAACCTTTCCATTACAGTCTACTTTACCCTTATAGTTGTATTGTACTACAGTCTACTTTACCCTTATAGTTGTATTGTACTACAGTCTACTTTACCCTTATAGTTGTATTGTACTACAGTCTACTTTACCCTTATAGTTGTATTGTACTACAGTCTACTTTACCCCTATAGTTGTATTGTACTACAGTCTACTTTACCCCTATAGTTGTATTGTACTACAGTCTACTTTACCCTTATAAAGGTGTAGCTGCTGGGCACTGGGCTCCACCACCTGGTTGTCCACGGTTATGGCAAGATGCTTCAGACGCAGCTCAGAGAACATCTTCAGGTCAACCTCACCTGTTAATGTGGGAACATCACAAACAGACAACCTATGAAGAGCTGGAACCAGACCCTAAAGCAGGGATACTCAACTCTTACCCTACGAGATCCAGAGCCTGCTGGTTTTCTGTTCTACCTGATAATTAATTGCACACACCTAGTGTCCCAGGTCTAAAATCAATCCCTGATTAGAGGGGAACAATGAAAAAATGCAGTGGAACTGGCTTGGAGGTCCAGAGCTGAGTTTGAGGCCCCTAAAGGAAGGCTTTTCTACTAGAGTCAAACAGAAAGAGTAAGAACCGGAGGACATAACAAAGTAATGTCATTTTATAAGTAATGTTAGCTACCAAATAAGTGACGTACATTGTGCGAACCAAAAATAAATTGTCCTCAGTTTTGATTAGCAGAACTTGGTGGACGTAATATGCCTATAATAAAACAGGTAAATTACTTTACTTGGTATGCTCTTAGGTAAATCAATGTCGTTAAACAAACAGTAAATGTTTGAATTGTTTATCTATAGTATTGTAATCCCTTGTAACAGCTTGTATCTCACCTGCTCCACTTCCGACTCCCATCACATTAATATTGGCTTTTCCCTCTCCAATGCTGGGGAAGACAAAGGCAGGATATTGTGCTATCAGGACAGGTAGCTACTAGCATAAAACACCCCAGAGTCTTAGCTACATCCTTGTTACCTGGTTAGTATGTCAGGCAGGATGGCGTGGATGAAGTCCTGCATGCACTGATGTTCAGAGGAGCACTCCAGGAACAACTGGAAGGACTGCAGGTATCTGTTATCATCCTCCACCAGACTCCTCAAAGCATAGGACATTGTTAAATGGTCTGTCAAAACAATCACAGCTTACACTCCTTTCAGATGAGAATGACAGAACACATTCAATGTATTTATATGAATGCAATAAGGCACCAGTGTCACAGAAGAAACATAACCCCTCCCACTGTACTTATTTCTTTGTGGAGGCTGATCCTTTTAAAGCTGTATTGCTCTTTAATTCCCATGGTGACAATTTGACAATGTGAGGATGCACCAGCTAATCAGGGGACTTGATGATTGGTGGAATCAAGGTGTGTTAGTGCTGGGCTGGAACAAAAGCCTGCACATCCTGTGGGTTGCCAGTCAATCTACCTCCTCATTCATTTTCGGAACATCTCCTTAATATTCATTACGTTCTTCCTTTGCACTCAAATCAGTCAAACCACATTAAATGCTATTAAAGTGATGTGTGTCGCGGTAACTACTGTAATGAGGTGATGCCTGGGACTAAAACAGACTGAACCAGATGAATTAGACCTAACAAGAAGCCGTGTTCAGGGCTGCTCATCTGGCTGGCCCTGACACTACCACCCTAATTCACTTCAGCATTAAAAAGAAGTGACACTCTTAACTAAATTAACTGGATTAAACAAAAGATTTTAACTCCATTTCCCCCATCCCCTGAATAGATTGAGATTAACTGAGAGGCTGTCTGTCAATCTATGGAACGCTTATCAGGCTGTTTCCATCAGGAGGATCTGGCCAATCATCTTGGATCAGTCATTACTATTCAGATCCAGACATAAAGCACTATAGAAGCTCTGTAAATCACACCACTACTTAGGAAGAGGAGTTTCTCTCAGACATCCTGGTTCACCCTGAAAATGTACCTGTTTTGTTACAGATAAATCTGATTAAACTTCCCACTGGGCACACACTGGTTAAATCAACGTTGTTTCCACCAATGTGGAATAGATGTTGAATTGACGTCTGTGCCCAGTGGGTTCAATTTCTCCAGGTACAGTGAGTGTTTGGGATAGAGTGTGTATCCATGGTGCATAAATCTGAAAGGGAAACCACGTGTTCATAACATCATCAACAACACCATCAACAACTCAAACTATTTTGTCAAGCACTCAGCAGGTCAACCGATCACCTATACTCTGAGGTTCATTTTCTTGCTTTTCACACACAAACAACAAAAAATAGAAAAACTAAAGTAAAACCAAATGATCAAATTAATGAAACTGGACAGCCACTTCAGTTGATGTTCCTCTCTGCTGTTTAGTAAGGAAGAACAACATTATCTCCACAATTATTATCACAAGAGACAACAGAGGCAAAAAGAAACCACACAGATCAGTGCCATATTCAAGATCAAACTTCACTCCGTCTCCTCTGATCAACTTATAAACTGATACAGCAGATTGCTGAACTGGTATACTGTGTACTGCATTTTCACATTTCACATTAACGTTGATCTTAAATCATACTTGGAATTGCCAAATTGGGATGGGTTGTATGAACTACCTACTAAATAAAAATAAATAGCAACATTAAATAAAAATCCTTACATATCTCTGCTTACAATCATAACAAGAATAGCCTAACCTGCTTAATGCTTACACATACTGTATCTAAAAAGGTATAACTCTCTGGTCTGAAGTACAAGTCTTTTTCTAGATTTTTTTCATCACTGCTGTTTATCAGATCACAAAGGACACTTACGACAAACAGATGACTATCGTTCTGTACAGGACATCATGGCCCACATAAAGTAGCTGAAATGTCACTGTCTTCATTGTTCAATGTATCAGCTCCCTATCAACTAACGTCATGGACACAACAGTTACCAGAATCTAGACACTGTGACAATAAACTCATGTTTTATGACAGGAAGACACTGAATAATCATGATATTATAATGAAGAGTATACAACATTGACAATGAAGAAACATCATTGTATTAGCCTTTGCATTTTCACATGACCATGTGTACCCCAAAGCTCTGTATTAAAACTTTTACTTTAACCGGATCCTGGAAGTCGAGTCTTTAAACATTTCAAAGTCAACATTACCATCTTCAGTTTGGTGTCAAATAAGCAGGATTGACTTGTTGATTTAGGGGCTTATTAAATGCTCACACATTGTGATAATCGTAACTGCTTACACATAGTAGTAATGCATATGGCAGGGGTCCCCAACTCGTGGCCAGTGATTTTAGAAATGGTTAATTGACCACAAAATCAACATTTTGCAATGGCCATCAGTCTCCGTACTTGAAGAGGGCAGTCCATAAGCGCAGATGAAGGATATCAAGGATCTGGAAATATTCTGTATGGAGGAATGGTCTAAGATCCTTCCCAATGTGTTCTCCAATCTCATAAAGCATTTAAGAAAAAGGCTCAGTGCCATTATCATGGCAAGGGGAGGATGCCTGAGTGTACCAATAATTTAGACCCCCATCATTTTTAGATGTATTACAAAATATCTTTCTCTGAGCAATTGTATTAGAATAAAAGTATATAATTGTCGTTATTTTTTATTTTTATTTTTTGCATCCAATATTCCTCAGTATATGTGTTATTTATTTTAAAGTATTTTTTGCTAATCTTTATCAAGGTTGCCAAAAATGTTGGACATGATTGTATCTAACTAACTATCTAAAACGGTATAACTTTCTGGTCTGAAGTCGTTGACCAGTGTTCTGTACAGGACATCATGGCCCACAAAAAGTAGCCGAAGTGTCACTTTCTTCATTGTTTAATATATCAGTATTCTATCAACTAACGTCGTGGACACGTCAATTACCAGAATCTAAACAATAAACATATGTTATGACAGGAAGACAGTGAATAATCATGATATTATAATGAACAGTATAAAACATTGAAACTGAAGAAACATCACTGAAGTGAACCCTCTCGCTTAGCCTTTGCATTTTCACATGACCACCTGTACCCCAAAGTTCTGTATTAAAACTTTTACTTTGACCGGATCTTGGAAGTCAAGTCTCCTCTTTCACTTTTACAAAAAGGCGGAGGGCGGCACTTTTCAACCCGTACTGAACCATGAGGGGATTCGATGAAGTTGAACCGGGTGGGCGGAGTTTGCACCGGGTGAAAAGTGATTGCATTCGTTTCGGAACCGGGCTGACTCCCGGGTGCCCCGCTCTGGCCGACGGTGAAGTCGGCTCAAAACGAAAGTGACATGAGTTAAGCACGAGGAGTAATGAGTAGGATTCTGTGTTTTCACACGCAAAACTGATTGCTTTTAATAAAACCTTTTTGTATCTGCCTTCCCAATGAAAACTAGTTTGAAAATGTGAACATATATTTTATGGAAAAGTGATGTTGGATGTTACTTTTTTTTTTTTTTTTTTTTCACCTTTATTTAACCAGGTAAGCCAGTTGAGAACAGGTTCTCATTTACAACTGCGACCTGGCCAAGATAAAGCAAAGTAGTGCAATAAAAACAACACAGAGTTACATATGGGGTAAAAAACATAAAGTCAGAAATACAACAGAAAATATATATACAGTGTGTGCAAATGTAGCAAGTTATGGAGGTAAGGCAATAAATAGGCTATAGTGCAGAATAATTACAATAGTATTAACACTGGAATGCTAGATGTGCAAGAGATTATGTGCAAATAGAGATACTGGGGTGCAAAAGAGCAAAATAAATAACAATATAGGGATGAGGTAGTTGGGTGGGCTAATTTCAGATGGGCTGTGTACAGGTGCAGTGATCGGTAAGGTGCTCTGACAACTGATGCTTAAAGTTAGTGAGGGAGATAAGAGTCTCCAGCTTCAGAGATTTTTGCAATTCGTTCCAGTCATTGGCAGCAGAGAACTGGAAGGAATGGCGGCCAAAGGAGGTGTTGGCTTTGGGAATGACCAGTGAGATATACCTGCTGGAGCGCAGACTACGGGTGGGTGCTGCTATGGTGACCAATGAGCTAAGATAAGGCGGGGATTTGCCTAGCAGTGATTTATAGATGGCCTGGAGCCAGTGGGTTTGACGACGAACATGTAGTGAGGACCAGCCAACAAGAGCGTACAGGTCACAGTGGTGGGTAGTGTATGGGGCTTTGGAGACAAAACGGATGGCACTGTGATAGACTACATCCAATTTGCTGAGTAGAGTGTTGGAGGCTATTTTGTAAATGACATCGCCGAAGTCAAGGATCGGTAGGATAGTCAGTTTTACGAGGGCATGTTTGGCAGCATGAGTGAAGGAGGCTTTATTGCGAAATAGGAAGCCGATTCTAGATTTAACTTTGGATTGGAGATTCTTTATGTGAGTCTGGAAGTTGAGTTTACAGTCTAACCAGACACCTAGGTATTTGTAGTTGTCCACATACTCTAGGTCAGACCCGTCGAGAGTGGTGATTCTAGTCGGGTGGGCGGGTGCCAGCAGCGTTCGATTGAAAAGCATGCATTTAGTTTTACTAGTGTTTAAGAGCAGTTGGAGGCTACTGAAGGATTGTTGTATGGCATTGAAGCTCGTTTGGAGGTTTGTTAACACAGTGTCCAATGAAGGGCCAGATGTATACAAAATGGTGTCGTCTGCGTAGAGGTGGATCTGAGAGTCACCAGCAGCAAGAGCGACATCATTGATATACACGGAGAAAAGTGTCGGCCCAAGAATTGAACCCTGTGGCACCCCCATAGAGACTGCCATAGGTCCAGACAACAGGCCCTCCGATTTGACACACTGAACTCTATCCGAGAAGTAGTTGGTGAACCAGGCGAGGCAGTCATTTGAGAAACCAAGGCTATTTAGTCTGCCAATAAGAATGCGGTGGTTGACAGAGTCGAAAGCCTTGGCCAGGTCGATGAAGACGGCTGCACAGTACTGTCTATTATCAATCGCGGTTATAATATCGTTTAGGACCTTGAGCGTGGCTGAAGTGCACCCGTGACCAGCTCGGAAACCGGATTGCATAGCGGAGAAGGTACGGTGGTATTCGAAATGGTCGATGATCTGTTTGTTAACTTGGCTTTCGAATACTTTCGAAAGGCAGGGCAGGATGGATATAGGTCTGTAGCAGT